GGCAGGAGACAGAGCGAGCCATGGAGATCCTCAAAGTGCTCTTCAACATCACCTTCGACTCCAGCAAGAGGGAGGTGGATGAGGTAAGCTCTGGGTGTCCCCCCCTGCATGTGCCAGTCTCCAGGCTGGGTTTCACTGCTGCCCTTCTCCTCACTTGCATGTCCTCTGTTACAAACTGGCCCTTGTGCAGCCCCCAGGTACATGGAGGGGTGGCAGGAGCCTCGTGTCAGAGCTTCCTCCCTCGGGCACTGCCTCTGTCCAGTGCATTAGTGACACGTCAGGCTTTCAGAGCACTGCAGTTTACAAGTTGAGTGTTTCCCTTCTTCCCACCATTCACTGCACAAGGGCAGAGCAGAGCCCCCAGTAACTCACTTCTGAGCCTGGCCTGGTACTCCTTCACCTTCTGGACAAGGCCAAGGGAGGGTGTGATGGAGAACACCCCTAACTAACCCATGGGGCTTTTTTGGGGCCTCTTCCAGCCCTTGGCTCAGTGTCCCAGAGTGAGGGGGAAGGTACTGGGCAGCAGGAAATCTGCGTATTGTCCTGAAAGGAGAACTGGAGGCTTCTTTCACTTGGGACACCCTGCAGCAGTTGCAGGCTGCTGGATGGGGCTGTGGGCTCAGGGCAGGCTCTGGGATGTGGAGGATCCTTTTCCTGATGCAGGTTTTCATTCTCTGTTTCGGGGCAGGAAGATGCTGCTTTGTACCGGCACCTGGGGGCCCTCCTGCGCCACTGCCTCATGATCTCTGCTGATGGAGAGGACAGGACAGAGGAGTTCCACAGGTCTGGTAGATCACTAGGTCAGCATCTCACTAGCAACAGGTCTCCCCAGGGCCAGTCCTGCCCGACCTCGGCTTGAGCCGCCTCTGCCTGTGTGGTGTTTGCTGAGGTCGCTGTGATGAGCAGGTCAGACACCAAAGCAGGTGCCTTTGGCCCAGCCGGCAGGTTCCTCCATCCAAACTAACCCTGTCTTTCCTCTAGACACGTTGTCTGTGCAGCCACCACAGGGAGGAGCATGGTGTGTTCTCCCAGCCTGCCTGAGGGCTGTGTTCCATCCCCTGCATCAGACCTGCTCAAGCGCCACCATTTCGGTGGCCTCTTGCCAGGGCAAGTTTGGTGCTTTGAGTCCCTTAAGCCAGGCTGAGGAATTGCCTGTGGCACATCACTGGGCGTTGCTGGCCCAGGGGTGTCCGCTCTGAGCTGGTGACACCAGCCTGTCCCCAGGAAAGCTGCAGTCAGGAATTGTAAGCATTGGCCATGAAGGAGGGAAGGAGTGATGCAGCAGGAGGCCCTAGAGAAGGACCTGCTTGGCCTCAGTGTCAGGATCTGTGGTTTCTCACTTGTCACTAAAGTCTCTTTAGACTCCCAGCAAGTAATTCAACAACACAAAAGCAGTTTAATGTATCCCCTTTCAGTGGTGTGAGGAGCCTGGGATGCAGTCCAAAGACGGCTTGGAGCTCAGAGCCCTCCCACTGCTGGAAGTCAGTGATGAACCTCCATCTCTGGAGAGCTGAGGAACTTCTGTGAGCAAAGCCCCGTGACCGTGTTCTCTTTGCCTTTACTTGTCCAGCCACACGGTTAATCTTCTGGGCAACCTGCCCCTGAAGTGTCTGGATGTGCTGCTCACCCCCAAAGTGCGGCCCGGCTCCCTGGAGTACATGGGTGTCAACATGGATGCAGTCAGCATCCTGCTGGACTTCCTGGAGCGCCGCCTGGACAGGGTGAGCTGTGGGGCTGCTTCCCTGCTCGTCTCCAGCAGCTCACTGCAGGGCACCTTCCCTGCAGCCTGGAAAGGCCCCGGGCCACCAGCACAGGACACCAGTGGGCACGGCTGGTTCGGGGATACTCCTTTATGGAAGGGGCAGTTTTTAGTAGAAGCCAAACTTGGGGTTGGTGGGACTAAGCCAACGTCTGTTGACTGGGAAAGTGACGGTGTCATCGCTTGGTAGGCTGCAGGTGGTGAGACTGGTTGAGCAGTAGGGGATTAGCTGGGCAATGGAAGCCCTGGTGCCGTTCCACTGAGCTCAGCAGTGACCCGCTGGGCAGCTCTGGAAGCCTCAGTTTGTGTTGGTTTCAAGCTGACTGTGGTTTCAGCCTCTGGAGTTGTTCCAAAGGGCCTCCACGTTTCACCACTGCACTTCTCCACTCCGGGTGCCCCACAGGTATTTCTAGCACTGCTGTGCCATGAGCAGGGCTTGGAAACCCAGGGGTTGGAGGAGTGGTGGAGCACTGGAGCTCCTGCGGCAGAGCCTGGGAGCTTTGGTGTCCGTCTGTTTCTCTGGTGTCTGTACTCGCATTCTCCCTGACAAGCCAGAGGTGTTGAGCTCAGTGTGACTCACGTGGTGCTTGTGCCGTGGTGCCTCTGCAGGGACACAAGCTGAAGGAGAGCCTGACCCCTGTGCTGAACCTGCTGACTGAGAGCGCCCGCGTCCACCGCCAGACCAGGAAGTTCCTGAAGGCAAAGGTGTGCTGAGGCTCAGCCACGAGCTGGGGGATGCTGCTCCGAGGACAGAGGAGACCAGGAAGCTCCTGGTTACTGCCACCCTCCCAGCAGGCCCCCCGTCTCTGCTCGGTGTGGTCTGTGGGTGGTTGAGGCCTTTGGTACCCACAGTGTTTTGTCCACATCTCCCACACTGTGCATTTACTGGTGGTAGCTGAACACACAGGCAATGTCCCCTCTCTGATGGGGTATT